GATGCTGCTTGGCCTGCTGTGTTCATCCAGCCCTGCACCTTGTTGTCTCGGATTCTCCAGCATCTGCAGTTCCTACTATCTATGGGGATACTTGCTTTTTTGAAAGAGAGTTTGAGAGCAGGAAGGTGATACTGGGACTGTATAAAATGTTGGTTAGGCCACACAGTGAGAGTATTGTGTGGCAGTTCTAGAATCCACATTATCGGAGGCACTGGGAGAGGGTGCAGAGGAAGACTTACCAGGATGTTGCCTTAGGGGCTGGAGAGTTGCAGAGGGATTGGACAGACTGGGGTTGATTTCCTTTAAGCAAAGGACATTGAGGGGGGATATAATTAAGGTGTATAAAATGATGAGGGGCATAAATAGGGTAGACAGGAAGAAATATTTCCTCCTTAATGGAGGAATCAATGACCAAGATAGGGCATAGATTGAAGGTAAGGGGCAGGAGGAACAATGTTTTCACCCAGAGGGTGATGAGGAATCTGGAACTCCCTGCCTTTAAGGGTGGGAGAGGCAGAAACCCTCATCACATTGAAAAAGGATTAAGATATGCACTTGCATATGGGCCAAGTGCTGGGAAAATAGGTTTAGAGAATAGTGAGGTACTTTTTTTGACTGGAGCAGATCTGAGGAGCTGAAGGGTCTTTGGCTGCGTTGTAGATCTCTAGGACTGTTCGACTCTAATGTTTATAATATTTTTATTAATCTTCTGGTGGTCATCACATTTTTATGAAGTTTCAAACAACAGGACCTGATAATGCAACCTCAGTCATTTTAAACATTGTAATTCTCACACTATTAGTTATGTATACTGCTGGGAAATATAATCAGCCAATCTGTGGCACTTCATGATAGACAGAAGAAAAGAGATGTGAGAAGATTAACTTTCACAATAATGTCTCTAAAGGTGTACACAAATTCTGCAGTAGCCTTGTTTAAGCTGTTTCTAACCAATTGATCTGATAACCGAGTGAAAAGCATTAACAAAGTTTATTTTATGTCAATGAATTCAATTGTATTTTAAATTCTCTTACTTACAGATGTCCTGCATTTTGATCAGCTTGTGGAAGTGAACTAATGGGAAATGATAAAGGAATTGATGAATATTAATGTTTTCATTTTTACAAATCTAGAGACAGACATAGATGCAAATTTCTGTAGTGACACATTTGGATGGTGGGGATGTGAGAAGGGAGTATAATATTTTTGCAAGTTAGGGGAACATAGTATAAATTGGTGGATGCTAGTTAAAGATGCTTCAAGTTGAGTTGCAACAGGCATTCCTTCAGACAGTTTTGATAACATGTTGATTTGAATGCCTTGGACGCACAAACCAGAAGTCTTCAGGTTTTGAGGTCAAGAGCTGATTATAAATAATTTTAGTATAACATTGTACGTACCTATCTCATCACAACTCTCCTAGGACAGTCTGCATTAAGAAGGAACAGACAAAAACAAAAGGGACAAAAGCTCACAAAATAAGGAAAACATCAATGTATTAGCTTGAGGAACTATGACTGAAGCAAAAAGGTGTTAATCATTTTGGGTTCAGACATAAAACAGCAAGGGGAAACAATCATTGGTGTGAAATATTTATAGACCACCAAACTTATAATACAAAATTTGGGCATGCTACAATTAGGAAATGAGTGATGCATTTAATGTGGGTAATAAAGTAAGAATGAGAAATTTCAATTTGCATGTAGACTGAATGAAGTCAGCATTAATGTATTGGAGGATGAATTCCTGGAGTGTGTAGAAGTTGTTTTCCTGGACTCGTATATTGTGGCATCAATCTGGGATTAGACCAGGTTGGATTTAATATTTTGTAATGAGAAAGAGTTAATTAACATATGTTATTTAGATAAATCTATGGGAAATAATCACCATAATGTCTCAGAATTTTATTTTAAATTGAATGTGCATCATTCATCTTAAAGCTGAATAAAGGCAAATATAGATATCCAAGGACATGTTGGTTGGAGCCAAGTTTGAAAATAAACAAAAATAATCAATAGGAGAGAAGCAAATTTATAAACTTAAGGTTCACAACAAAAGCTCATTCCTTTAATGTACAAACATCCAAACTGGAATGGTGGATCTACCAAGGTTTACGAAAGATATCTAAATTTCATGAGTTGAATGGATTATCAGACTACCAGAAACATTGAGAAGCCAGAAACAAAATCAAAGTTGCTGGAAAAGCTCAGCAGGTCTGGCAGTATTTGTGAAGGAGAAAACAGAGTTAACGTTTTGGGTCCGGTGACCCTTCCTAAGAATACCAGAGAAGCCAGATATTGGTAGTAATTTAGGGCCCAGTGGGAAAAAAAAAACAAAAAACTGTTAAGGAGAAGGAAAACAATACAAATTCAAGCAAGTGATGAATACAAAGATGGACAGTAAAGGTTTTAATGATATACTCGAAAACAACCGAAAATGTGGACCCATCGCAGGTAAAGTTAGGAAGCATTACACTAGTGAACAGGAAAGTGCAGTTGTTGGCCTTGCACAAGGCCATAGGGACCATAAGAAACAAGGACAGGCATAGGCCACTTGGCGTCTCAACCCTGTTCTACCAATCAATTGGATCTTGGCTGATCTGACATTCCTCAGGTCTACCTTCTTGCCTTTTCACTGTAACACTTCATTCTGCTGTGGAGCAAGAATCTTTCTGTTTCAACCATAAATATACATAAGGGCTCTGCCCCCACACAGCTGTGTACAATGGGGAGTTCCAAATACTTACAAAATCCTCTAAGAGTAGAAATTTCTCCCTATCTCTTTATTCTCAGCACCTTTATTCTGAGACAATGCCCTCTGGTCCTAGACTCTCCCATAAGGGAGAAACATCCTCTCAGGCTTTTTCAGAAAGCTTTTCATAAGATCCCACACAGGATGTCAACAAATCTAAGTACATCTCTTGGAACTGGGTGGATTGAATAGTATGGTTTGGTAATTGACCCTTTCAAACCCCTTAAGAATCCTACATGTTTTAATGAGATTACCACTCATTCTTTTAAATTCCAGTGAATGGAGTCCCAACCTGTTTAACCCTTAAGGGAAATGATCCAGGTGAAAATGATACAGATCATCTTACATGGCGTTGAAGAAATTACAGAGATGTTGTGACAAATAAATTTAATGAGTAAAATGGTAGTTGATACAAAAATATGGGAAGTGAAGTTTGATAACTATCTTCACGCAGTTGAAGTTAATGCCAGCGTGGTGAAGAAATGGGTAATACAAAAAATTGTTACATTGTTGGCTATCTTTCATAACTCTAGATTCTAGAAATTATCATCATCCTGACAGTGTGGAAACAGGCCCTTTGGCCCAACAAGTCCACTCTGACACTCAGAGCATCCCACCCAGACCCACCCCCTTATAAACCACCTAATCTACACATCCCTGAACATTATAGGCAATTTAGTATGGCCAATCCACCTAGCCTGCACATCTTTGGACTGTGGGAGGAAACCAGAGCAAACCCACGCAGACATGGGGAGAATGTGCAAACTCCACACAGACAGTCTCCTGAGGATGGAATTGAACCCAGGTCCCTGGCACTGTAAGGCAGCAGTGCTAACCACTAAGCCACTGTGAAATAGTGAGGAAAAGGGGTTAATGGAGACCTTTGTCAGCTTAATGACTACAATAGAGAACATGTTAGACTCCATGATTGAGAATCTGGTAACCGAGCATGGAGTGAAGAATGGAAAAATTGCACAGCGCTGACATGGGTGTATTAAATGGGAATCCTGCTTGACAAAACTGATGGAGCATTTTGAGGACATTCCATGCAGCATCAATAAATAGGAAACAGAGAATTAACTAGGTTTTCAGAAAGCTTTTCATAAGATCCTACACAGGATATCAACAAATCTAAGTACAGCTTATAGGACTGGGTGGAATGAATCATATGATTTAGAAATTGCTCAGTAGAGAAAAAGCAGAGACGAGGATTGAACGGATCATTCTCAGGAGGCGAGCTTTCCTCAACTTTTATAAATGATTTGGATAATGGGGCAAATAATACTAATTCCAAAACTGCTGAAGGAGTAGGCCATTCGGCCCCTTGAGCCTACTCCACCGCTCAATAGGATCATGGCTGATCTGATGCTCCTAAGGTGATATTGATGCAAAATTCAGGAATGTGAATACATCAGAAATGACTTCCACGCATTTCTATCATCACTTTACTCCCCCTTTTCCCTCCTGGAAATATTCCCTGAGACCTGTCTGCCTCAGTTCAAATATTCTTCATCATGCAAGTACATTTCCTTGGCTGTTGAGAAGTTTCTATAAATCCAATTCACTTCAGCCTAGCCCCAGAGTAACATTCGCTCTCACGTTGCCTCTGGGTAATGAGTCCGTTTATCTTCCCTTGACCATGCATTCTTCCTTCAGTCGTTAAATTAATTTCTCTGATCAAAGTTGCAAATTGTCTGGTCATTTCAATATGATCCATCTCTCTTCATAAAAAAACAAGCCGACTCTCATTTTACCAGAACTGGACAAAACTTATCAGCTAGAAATTCATGAGTTTCCAAAGCCACTTATTATTTAGAGTAATCTTTGAGGAGTTAAATAATCAAACTGTGAGGACCCACTACTCACCAATTGCAAGTAAGATTGAAAAAGCGAACATTTTCTGACAAAATTCTCACTCAATATTTTGGACGTCGAGATCTGTGAGTTAGTTTAATTTCTGACTTGAGTTTCTGACTGGTTGGAATATCACAGTTTGTATTGAGTAAGATTAACAGGAACTGAGTTGGCAATACAAGTTTTCATATGGTTTCCCAATGCTATCTCTATCGCCCATGTTCAAGTGAGACAGGTTATTGTTAAACGTCAAAAAAAAATGACAACATTGTTGAACAGTCAGCACAAAAGCAGTGTGTGGAAGTGAGAGCCTTAAGGTCCTTCTGCTAGATTACACACAGGGGCTAAATTTAGCTCAGTTAGCTGGACAGCTGGCTTGTGATGCTGGATTACACTAACAGCTCAGGTTCAGGTCCCACAGCCAACTGAGATTATTGTGAAGTTCTCCCCTTCTCCAACTCAGCCCTCATTTGAGGCCTGTTAAACTCACCCCAAGTCATCTCTCTTGAGTGATAGTGGGTCCATGGCAATATTACCATTACCCAGTGGTTAGAAGCCAAAAGTGTCTGAAGATCACAAATACTGACTGTAAATGAAAATGCAATGTTTAATGTACATAAGATGTATTTGAATCCCATTCAGTTTGTATCACTATAATTTGCCAAATCTGAAATGCTGTACAATATGCTATTATAGATTTGAGGAACAAAGTGTTTACTCATGAGAAGGAATGCTGATTGTTTTTATTAACTTTGTATGTTGATCGGCATGAATCCCCTATCAGTTTCATTCTGCAAGGATTCAAGTGTGTCAGTCCACTGCTTACACTCTCGGGTTATTTGTGTGTCTTAACTGCACAATTTCGTCCGCATGGTATTTGCAACAGAATTGTTTTTTTTAAAAGTGGCCTGCTTTAAATTTCATGCTGGGAATAATCACAACAGTTGCACAGGCTGTTGGGCTTCACTAAATGTCTCCAATGCTTTCCCAGTTTTGAATAAAAGTCAGCAAGGAGTACATGTTTTCATATACCAGTCTAAAGCTCACAATCCTGGCATTTTTACACACATGAATTAAAAGCAAGAACTACAGCACATTTAAAACTGGAAGGAATGCAATTTGGACGTAATATCAAAGACATAAAAAAAAGACATTAATGGACTAACAAGCAAAAGCAGATATCCAGTTTTGAAACTTGTGCATGTCTATCATTGAGTTTCAACTCTTAAGCTATTGACTTCGAGAACTGGACTTGCATTCTAAAATCATTTGCTGTCGTTTTTATTTAAACCTTCACAAATGCATGAAGCCAATGTCTTGACCTGGAAGGACAGGCATATGAGCAATGAAAACCATCACATAAAAAAATCTTGCTGAGTTTGTTGGAGAGACACGGTTCCAACAGCACAGGGAAGGGATGACTCTTTTTAACTGAGATGAGCAGGGATTTGTTTAGCCAGAGGGTGCTCATTGCGCAGAGGGTTGTGGAGGCCAAGTCATTGAGTATTTTTAAGACAGAGATAGACAGGTTCTTGATTGGTAAGGGGATCAAGGGTTACAGTCAGAAAGCAGGAGAATGGGCTTTGAAAACATATTGGCCATGATCGAATGGGCCAAATGGACTTATTCTGCCCCAGTATGTTATGGTCTTACGTACATGTACATTGTTGCTGCTCCATCATGTTTTATGTCAATGTTAAGACCAGGACATGATAGAATACGTTGAACTCCACTACTAATTGTGTCAAAGATAGTAATTTGTGTAAAATCATAGTAATCATTAGCATAATAGAAATTTACAGGTTCAACTCTTATTTCCCTGAATAATAATTGTATAAGGTATCTCAAACTTATATACTTCCCGAGGGAGGAAAAAAAAGCCAGAATCCTCTGGAAAATTCTCAAAAACACCAGACTTTTCCACAGTAACTAATATCCATTCACAAGGTGTCCTGAATATAAATGTCTCAGTTTCTTGTTCTGGTCACTTCTGATGTTTCCAATCGAATTGGCTTCTTGCTTCCTTTGGAACATGATTTTGTTCTCTCCAGAATTTCGAAGGCTAAAGGGTAATCTGCTCAAAGTCTCCAAAATATTAACAGGAAAAGACAGCACTAAATTAATTGGGGTAGAATGGTGGCACAGTGGCTAGTGGTTGCTATCTTACAACACCAGGACCTGGTTTGATTCCACCCTTGGTTGACTGTCTATGTGGAAGTTGCACATTCTCTACATGTCTGTGTGGGTTTCCTCTGGGTGCTCTGGTTTCCTCCTATAGTCCAAATATGGGCACGTTGGGTGGATTAGCTGTGATAAATTTGCCCATTGTGTCCATGTTTGGTAGGTTAGCCATCAGTGCTGACTTGATGGGCTGAATGGCCTCTATTTGCACTGTTGGTGAATCTGTTTCTCCATTGTATTCACTGCGTTCTTTTGTCTTTATTCTTTGATGGGATGTGGACATCACTGACAAGGCCAGAATTTGTTGTCCATTCCACATTGTTGCTGATTTTGAGACCATTTCCATGGGCCATGTAGACAGAGAGGGATTCGATTCAGAATTTAATTAAACAAACCCCTCTTTATTTAACTCCTTAGGTATCAATATAAAACACACTTGTTGTAACATTGTCTTCTTACTTTGTCTGACTTGACATCAACTTTAACTCACTTCATTTGACTTTACCTCACTTGAACTTAATTCATATTTCACTGAGTCTCTAAATTTATGAGTTTGGCTCGAAACAAAAACGAGTCTGATTTGAGTGAAGTGACCAACTTTGCCCTCACTGTAAATGTCACCTTGTGGTTCTTTGTCTTCACTGAAGATAACTTCAGCTCACGTACTTCTCAAATGTTGGTCTTGAGGGCTCACTCTTGCACGATCTTTTGTTCTGGTTACTTTCATCTCAAAGTGTGCTCTTTCCTCCAGAAACCTCTCTGGCACTCAGCCAATGAATAAACAAAACCCTGATCACAATATTCGATCCCAGTTAATGGTGTATCACTGGTGAAGAATGTCCCAATAGTTATACCACATCGAAACCAGCCACAAATCAAACTCCATTGGAAATGATAGTGGTGCCAGTATGTCTAGAGACAACAATAAAACATACCTTATGTGGTCAACACAGGTAACTTCACGTCACAGATTACAGGACACGTCACAACATATAACTGTAGCCAGGATAACAGAGGTCAGAGTTTAAACAGGTTGAGACTCTACTCAATGGAGTTTGGAAGAATGAGAGGCAATCTCATTGAAACATATGGGGTCTTTACAGGGTCAATGCTGGGAGGATGTTTCCCCTCATGGGAGAGTCTAGGACCAGAGGGCATAGTGTCAGAATAAAGGGGAACCATTGAAGACTGAGATGAGGTGGAATTCCTTCTCTCAGAGGGTTGTGAGTCTTTAGAACTCCTTGCCATGGAGAGCTGTGTGTAGGGAGGGGGGCTGTGGAGTCCTCATGTATGTCTAAGGCTGAGATAGATAAATTCTTGATCAGTCAGGGAATCAAGGGAAAGGTCAGGGAAGTGAATGTGAGAAATATCAGATCAGTCCTGATCCTATTGAATGACAGAACAGGCCTGATGGGTCGAATGACCTACTCCCAGTCCTATTTCTTACGGTGTTACGGCCTTGGAATGTTAACTCTGTTTTTAACTCCATACAGATGCAGCCAGACCTGCTGAGTTTCTCCAGCACTTATTTCTGTGGCAACCTGTTTAGCCTTTGCCCAAAACACAATCCCTCCATCCCAGAGGTCATCCCAGTGAACCTTCTCTGCCTCCAACTAAATTATGTATTTCCTTAAATAAGGAGAACAAAACTGCTCACAGTGTTCCAGATGTGGTCTCCCCACAACTTTGTACAGTTGTAATAAGAAACAGGAACAGAAATTGCTGGAAAAGCTCAACAGGTCTGGCAACATCTCTGAAGAGAAATTAACGTTAATGTTTAGGTCCAGTGACCCTTCCCTACTTCCCTACTTTTATAAACCACCCCCTTGAATTAAAGACCAATATTCCATTAGCCTTCCTGATAACCTCATTACAGAGCGATAAATGTTATGGAGTGAGTGTGTGGCAGTAAGGTTTGTTCCAATCCACAATCAGAACAAAAATCATCCTATTGATTAGACAGAGAAGTTGCAGAGTCCCAAATTCATTCCATCTCCTTCTTTTCTTTACGCTTGATGTGAATTGGTCAGCACATACTGCACATATTCTACTTCAAACAATATTAGGACATAAACCATGCCCAAGGGAAGGCCAATGGATTAATGCGAATTCCTTCTTTTGAAATGGAGCAAACAAAATAATATTGACAATGACATCTGAACAATATAGAAATTTACAGTGAGTCTTGTGCTATTAAAAGAATAATAAACCATGGCAGGCTCTGAAGTGTCACAAGCCTATGAGGACATTTTGGAGGTCTGCCTGATGCACAAAGTAGCACAGAACTTTTTTGTCAAAAGCATCTTTCAAAACTATTCAGTGTTGTGAGTAATGCATGTAATAGTGTGAGATTGCACCTTCCCATCCTAAGCCAGTGTGATAAGACTACACTTACGCAAGTCATTACCATTCAAGTGAAATGGGGAACTAACTGTGCACCTTGTGTAACTGTTGGGTCATGGGAAGCAAAAGGCAGACCAACCCTAAGTAACAATTATTTGTGTTTTTTTTCTGTGGAAATTGGTACATGTACACATTAAGGCTGTACCTGAGAACAGCATTTCCCCTCTTACAGCCTTACAGTGTCACATTGGAGGTGGTTTGAAACCATAACCTGGTCCTTTAGAATACATTCATTGATCCAAACTGACCCTTGTCATGTATCAGAATCTATACAGCTACAATGCAGGCAACCAGTGTGTGAACAGAATTACAAAATTGATTTTCAAGGCTACTGATGCCAACTAAAACAAAGAAACTTGTGGGGGTGGGAATACATGCCATAAAACACTGAAAGCTCGCACAGAAGGGCAGCAGGTAATTAGGAAGGGCTAATGGAATGTTGGTCCATACTTCAAGGGGGTGGAGTATAAGAGTGGGTAAGACTTATTGCAACTGTACAATGTTCTGAGGATACCACAACTGGAACACTGTGAACAGTTTTGCTCCCTTTATTTAAGGAAATACATCATTTAATTGGAGGCAGTTCAGAGAAGATTCACTAGGATGATCCCTGGGACTGGGGTGGTGCAGGGAAAGAGAAAATGCAAGAGAGAAAGTGAAAGAGAGACAGTACAATAGAAACATACAGAGAAACATGTGCTCAATTCCAGCCATTCACAGTAGTACAACTCCTGTTTATACTCTTGTCAATGTGGATCATTCAGCTGCTTGCCCTTGGTTATTTATCAAAGCCTCCTGTTTGACCGGTGTTTCATTTTCACTGACATAAGGCTCCGTGGAAAGCTGCTGAAGAATCTTGTGGCAGTTTGGAACTAGCAAAACTGGGATCGGGCCTCCTCCACATTCCAAACGACATGTGCTGAACAGAGTTTCTTATTCCCCTCTGCTCACGTCACGTGCCTATGGAACTGCCATGAAATCCTGCTGTCTCACAGTGAGCTGTAAATGATGTCAGTCAGAAATGCCACTAAAAAATGTCCCCCAAAAACCAGCAACTTAAGGTTAAAGGGCAGGACATTCCTAAGCTCCACAGATCACAAGAAGGAGTAACCTGCTCCAAAACTTACTTAAATCACGTTTAGTTGCATGTCTTGATTATGATATTAATAAATGATGTGGATGTGAATGTGGATGTGAATGTGGATGTGAGACAGATGATATTTGATTTATTGTTGTCACATGTACAGAGGTACAGTGAATAATCTTGTTTTGCATGCTATATAGGCAGATTATACTATGCAAAATACATCAGAGCAATTGAACAGAACGCAGAATATGGTCTTACGGCTGCATAGAAGGTATAGAGAATTTGAGAGGTCTGTTCAGAAGTCTGATAATAGCAGGTAAGAAGCTGATCTTTAATCTGTTGGGACATGTTTTCAAACTTTTGCATCTTCTGCCCAATGGAAGAGAGTGGAAGAGAATACAATCAGGGTGGGAGGTATCTTTGATTATATTTGCTGCTTTCCCAGGGTAGCCGGAAGTACAGATGGAGTCAATGGATGGAAGGCTGGTTTGTGTGGTGGACTGGGCTGTAGATAATAAGTAAGTTTGTGGATGACATGAGGATTTGCTGGAGTGAGGAGAAAGGTGTTAGGTTGCAGGAGGATATAAGCAGATTGGTCAGATGGGCAGATAAGTGGCAGATGGCATTGAACCCTGATAAAAAGGAGGTGATGCATGTTGGAAGAAAGAACAGACGAAGGGAGTACTCAGTGAATGGCAGGACACTAGAAAGCTCAGAGGAACATAGGGATCTTGGTATGTTTGTCCACAGATGCCTGAAGGAGGCAGGATAGGTTAATAGGATGGTTCAGAAGGCATATGGGACACTTATCTTCATCTGTTGAGGCATTGATTATAAGAGCGAGGATGTGATGTTGGAGCTGGTTCTGGTTAGGCCATCGCTAGAGTATTACGTGCAGTTCCCGTCTCTGCATTATAGGAAGGATGAGATTGAACTGGAGGGGGTGCAGAGAAGCTTCACCAGGATGTTGCCTGGAATGGAATAGTTCAGCGATGAAGAGAAGCTGGATAAGCTCAGATTGTTTTCTTTAGAGCAGTTGAAGAGGGACCCGATAGAAGTTTGTACGATTATGAGGGGCATGGACTGGGGGGGGTTATGAAGCAGCTATTCCTCTTAGTGCGAGCGTCAACAACAAGGTGAGGGGCATGAACTTTAGTTAGGATTTTGAGGGAAAATAAATCACCCAGATGCTGTTGGAGGTCTGGAATGTGCTGCCTGGGAAGGCAGTTGAGGTGGAAAACCTCCCAGCTCTATAAAGCTACTTGGATGAGAACTTGAAATGTTATAAATTCAAAGAAATGGGCCAAGTGCAGATTCACAAGTTGTTCAGTTGACACAGACTCAATGGGTTGAAGGGCCACTTCTGTTCTGTACATTTCTACTTTGAAGCAAATGTGAACATTGAACCCAGGTCTCTGAGCTCTAAGGTTAGGGTTTCAAACACTGCACCACAAACCATCACTCGTTGATGCTTGCAATAGAAGATTGCCCTTTACTTAAGCTCCCTTTTCATTGCACAGACTGACATATGCAATGTAACCAAGAGGCAGGATTTATCTGTGAGTGAGCAGTGGGATGTGACAATGACAGACAGTGAGAGCAATGTACAAACATCAAACTTTGACATCGATACATTCTGGACCAGTCACTGTTGCTGACAAATTCCTGGGCAAGTTCCTTGGTGAGACAGACTATGCTGTGCTCTTCAAAGTTGAGAATCAGCATTGAAGATGGGTTTTGAAAAGCTGGAGGTGGGTGGGACATCTGCTGTATACCCAGTTCCATACGTGGATGTATCATATGGCAATGGAACCTGATATCACACATGGTCTTATTTTTAATGGGGTCATGGGATGTGGGCAACATTGGCTGGGCCAGCAATTGTTGTCCACCCCTAATTGCCCAGAGGAGCAATGAAGACAAAAGCACATTGCTACGGGTTTGGAGTCACACCTAGGTTTGACCAGATAAAGTCCTTCAACTAAAAGGACATTACTAAACTCAGGCAATGGGCTGGAAGTGGGATTACTGTAGATTTATAACAGTTTTTGGCAGTACAGTTTCAACGGACTAAAGGGCCTGTTATACACTTTATGATTGGATGTGAAGCTTCGCAGTCTCCTGAACGTGTGTGGAAGAGAGAGAGCAGCATTGCAGAAGACACGAGTATGGACCAATTGGCAGGGAGTGACAGAAAGCATAGAAATGTAACCCATCTTCTGAAAACACATTGGAAACAGCAAGTGAATCGATTCACACTTCAAACATCATACTCCTGTTGTGAAGAGACGAACAGTGCGTTTTCTCAGATCCTTTTTCGCTCCTGCAAAAAGTAAAAAAAAAAAACCCAGTGTATTATCATATTAACATGGACTGAATGTGAAATTGTTAGCATGTGGGCTTCCTGTAAACATTGTGAAAGTATCTTCTGAATGGAGCCCAGTTTATGGATCTCTGATACATTAGTATCTAACTGCATACACGGATAGTGAAAAATGTCCTGTGGTTATAGCATAGTGCAGGAACTGGCTTGAAATGAAAGACAAACAAACATGTAGCAAATAAGCAGATTCAGTGTAGAGCAGGTTACATTAGGGAAGGAGTCACATAGATAGCCATAAGACTGTAAGTCCATTAAGAAATAGGAGCAAAATTAGGCCATTCAACCCATCGAGTCTGCTCTACCATTTGATCAGCTAATCTCTCAATACCATTCTTCTGCCTTCTCCCCATAACCCTTCATCTCCTTACAAATCAAGTATCTCTCTACATCCGTCTTAAAGACACTCAGTGACTTGGCCTCCACAGCCCTCTGCAGCAATGAGTTCCACAGATTCACCTCCCTCTGGCTGTCAAAATTCCTCCTCATTTCAGTTCTAAAAGGTCATCCCATCCTTCACTTTGCGAACCATAAGATATACTGCAATTGGATGGGTAAATGGACAGTCCGGAGTAAGCTAGGAAGAGGGGTGTCCGCTAGAGCCATCCATGTACATAACCAGCAGGAACTTGAGGATATGTATTACAAACTAAAGTGTACTTCTGCTTTACTTCCGAAATCCAGTGCAGTTGGAGCTAATATTTATTTAAGTGGCAAAAGGAAATGACCATGCCAGATAAGAGACAATGCAACCATTTCCCCTTGACATTCTGTGGGTATCACCAGCACTGATCAGCCCATTAACCAAACTATGGGGATACCATTAACTGGAATCTGAACTGTGGTGTACAATTTTGGTCACTTACTGGAAGAAGAATGTGAATGGTGAATGGACCAACATTTGGCAGACGGAGTTTGACATGGCTAAGTGTGATGTTATTTATCCATTTTTGTTGGAAGATTAAAAAGGTGACATTCTCTTCACAGTGCTATGGTACAGAGGGATCTGGGTGTCCTTGTGAATGAATCACTGAAAATGACTATGTGGGATGTAGGTGTCGCTGGATGGCCAGTATTTGTTACCTGTTCCTAGTTTCCTTGCTAGGCAATTTGAGAGTCATCCACATTCCTGTGGCAACAAGGTGTAGAGCTGGATGAACACAGCAGGCCAAGCAGCATCATAGGAGCAGGAAGGCTGACGTTTCGGGCCTAGACCCTTCTTCAGAAATGGGGGAGGAGAAGGGGGTTCTGAAATAAATAGGGAGAGTGGGGGAGGCGGATAGAAGATGGATAGAGGAGAAGATAGGTGGAGAGGAAACAGACAGGTTGAAGAGGCGGGGATGGAGCCAGTAAAGGTGAGTGTAGGTGGGGAGTTAGGAAGGGGATAGGTCAGTCCAGGGAGGACAGACAGGTCAAGGGGGCGGGATGAGGTTAGTAGGTAGGAGATGGGGGTGCGGCTTGAGGTGGGTGGAAGAACAGGTTAGGGAGGCAGGGATGAGCTGGGCTGGTTTTGGGATGCGGTAGGGGGAGGGGAGATTTTGAAGCTTGTGAAATCCACATTGATACCGTCAGCCTTTCTGCTCCTATGGTGCTGCTTGGCCTGTTGTGTTCATCCAGCTCTGCACCTTGTTGTCTCGGATTCTCCAGCATCTGCAGTTCCTACTATCTCACATTCCTGTGGGTCTGGAGTCACATTTAAGTCAGACAATTTCCTTCCCTGAAGGACATGAGTGAACCAGATGGGTTTTTCCACTGACTTTTGGCTGACTGACTGACAAACGTTTCAATTCTTAATTCCAGATTTTACATTTTTATTGAATTCAAATTCCACCACTTGCTGAGGTGGTATGTGAACCCAGTTCCCTTGGAACATTTGTTGAGTTTCTGGATTAATAAATCTCGTGATAATACCACTAGGCTATAACCTCCTGGTTAGCATATGTCAGCACTTCAGTATTAAATGGCAGTAGAATTGCCTTGGAGAGGGGAAGTATAAGGTTCTGTTGCTAAGCCTCACTTGGAATACTTTATGTAGTTCTGGTCACCCTGAGATAGGAAGGAGATTATTAAACTGGAGAGGATGCAGAAAAGATTTACAAGGATGTTACCAGGACTAGAGTGTTTGAGTTATAAGAAGAGGCTGGACAGGCTGGGAATTTTTCCACTGGACCATAGGAGATTGAGGGGTGATGTTATACAGGTTTATAAAATTACGAGGAGCATGGATAAGGTGAATAGCCAATGTCTTTTCCCTAGGGTAGGGGAGATCAAAACTAGAGGGCATAGGTTTAAGGTGGAAGGGGAAAGATTTAAAAAAGACCTTTTTCATACAGCAGGTGGTTCAAATGTGGAATGAACTGCCAGAGGAAGTGGTAGATACAGGTACAATTACAACGTTTAAAAGATATTTGCACAGGGCATAGTCCCAGTGAATCACGGGGCTGCTGTCTTGTTAGAGAGAAAGTACTGGGTGTAACCTGAGGGTCACTAAGCCTCAAACAGGGATGAGATGGAGTCCTTCATGGTATCCTCAACCAGTGTGGAAATTGAACCCATGCTGTTGGCATTGTTCTGCATTAGGAAACCAGCTGCCCAGCTGTCTGCCAATATAATGGTGAATGCGCCAAGCCAGAGAATAGAAGCAAGTGTCAGCGAACATCGAAGTTTCAAACCAGAAGCAGTAATGGCAATTTTACCTGCTAGTGGTGAGCCGCTTGCAAAATGTTCGACAATGATGGCCGCCATCAGAATGAGCACGAAGAGACTGAGGCAGAGATGCAGCAAAGTCACCGCAGTGTGATTTTGTTCTGTGCAATGAGAAGAACCCAGTTTAGATTGGGAATGTTCAGGAGCTCGAGAGGCTGAGAGAAATGATTGAGGAGCATTGACATCTCCTGTAGAGACAGCCAACATTTAAACAGTTACAATGTCTTTGAACTCATTGCCATAGGTAGTTGTGTGTATGGGGAAGAGTCCTTATTGGCTGAGATAGATACATTCTTGATCACTGGGGGAAATCAAGAGTTACAGAGAAAGGGCAGGAAATTGTACATGAGGCATGTCCAATCTGCCACGATCCTCTTGAATGGTGGTGCAGGCTCGAGGGGCTGAATGGCCTACTCCTGTTCCTAATTTCTGCATCCACATCTGTCATGATGGGGCAACTCTCAGTATGGATTGTGGAATGATTTGATCTTTCCATGCATAGAAGGTACATAATTTGGCAAAGCTATCCTTACCGTTGTTTGTGAATATCAAGTAGAGTGTTGATCTCTTGCTACATATAAACAGAAATGAGAATGTGACAGGTTGAAATTCTTTGTATTAATTGTTGTGAACAAATACAGATTGATCAGATGTTAAGGTGTAGAGACAACTAAGTGGTGGAGGACACACCCTGGTCTGGGTCGATGGTGCTGAAGTGGTCGAGAGCTTCAAATTCCTAGGATTGAAGATCACCAACAATCTGTCCTTGTCCATCCATGTTGACATGATGGCCAAGAAAGCACACCAACGCCTCTACTTCCTCAGAAGGCTAAGGAAATTCCACATGTCCACAATGACTTCTCCCAATTTTTATATTTGCACCATAGAAAGCATCCTATCCAAATGTCAAACAGCTTGGCACAGCAATGCTCTGCCCAAGACTGCAAGAAATTACAGAGCGTTGTGAACACAGCCCAGTCCATCACACAAACCAGCCTTCCATCCATTGACTCTGTCTATACTTCCTGCTGGCTTGGGAAAGCAGCCAACATAATCAAAGACACCTCCCACCCAGGTTATAGAACAAAGAACAAAGAACAAAGAAAATTACAGCACAGGAACAGGCCCTTCAGCCCTCCAAGCCTGCGCCGATCCAGATCCTCTATCTAAACCCGTCGCCTATTTTCCAAGGATCTGTATCCCTCTGCTCCCTGCCCATTCGTGTATCTGTCTAGATACATCTTAAATGATGTTATCGTGCCCGCCTCTACCACCTCCGCTGGCAACGCGTTCCAGGCACCCACCACCCTCTGTGGTAAAGAACTTTTCCCCTCTCACCTTGAAATCGTGACCCCTAGTAATTGAGTCCTCCACTCTGAGAAAAAGCTTCTTGCTATCCACCCTGTCTATACCTCTCATGATTTTGTACACCTCAATCAGGTCCCCCCTCAACCTCCATCTTTCTAATGTAAATAATCCTAATCTACTCAACCTCTCTTCATAGCTAGTGCCCTCCATACCAGGCAACATCCTGGTGAACCTCCTCTGCACCCTCTCCAAAGCATCCACATCCTTTTGGTAATGTGGCGACCAGAACCGTACGCAGTATTCCAAATGTGGTTGAACCAAAGTCCGATACAACAGTAACATGACCTGCCAACTCTTGTACTCAATACCCCGTCCGATGAATGAAAGCATGCCGTATGCCTTCTTGACCACTCTATCGACCTGCGTTGCCACCTTCAGGGTACAATGGACCTGAACACCCAGATCTCTCTGTGTATCAATTTTCCCCGGGGCTTTTCCATTTACCGTATAGTTCGCTCTTGAATTGGATCTTCCAAAATGCATCACCTCGCATTTGCCTGGATTGAACGTCATCTGCCATTTCTCCGCCCAACTCTCCAATCCATCTATATTCTGCTGCATTCTCCAACAGTCCCCTTCACTATCTGCTACTCCACCAATCTTAGTGTTATCTGCGAACTTGCTAATCAGACCATCTATACCTTCCTTCAGATCATTTATGTATATCACAAACAACAGTGGTCCCAACACGGATCCCTGTGGAACACCACTGGTCACAGTTCTCCATTTTGAGAAACTCCCTTCCACTACAGTTCTCTGTCTCCTGTTGCCCAGCCAGTTGTCTATCCATCTAGCTATTACACCCTGGACCCCTTGCGACTTCACTTTCTCTATCAGCCTACCATGGGGAACCTTATCAAACACCTTACTGAAGTCCATGTATATGACATCTATGGCCTTCCCTCATCTATCAACTTTGTCACTTCCTCAAAGAATTCTATCAAGTTGGTAAGACATGATCTTCCCTGCACAAAACCATGCTGCCTATCACTAATAAGCCCATTTTCTTCCAAATGTAAATAGATCCTATCCCTCAGTATCTTCTCCAGCAGCTTCCCCACCACTGACGTCAGGCTCACCGGTCTATAATTACCTGGATTATCCTTGCTACCCTTCTTAAATAAGGGGACAGCATTAGCAATTCTCCTCAGTGAATACCAATGCAAAGTACTCATTAAGAATCTCACTCATTTTCTCTGACTCCTCGCATAACTTCCCTCCTTTGTCCTTGAGTGGGCCAACCCTTTCTCTAGTTACCCTCTTGCTCCATATGTATGAATAAAAGGCTTTGGGATTTTTCTTAACCCTGTTTGCTAAAGATATTTCATGACCCCTTTTAGCCCTCTTAATTCCTCATTTCAGATTGGTCCTACTTTCCCGATATTCTTCCATAGTTTCGTCTGTTTTTAGTTGCCTTGACCTTATGTATGCTTCCCTTTCCCTCTTTGCTCGTCTCACAATTTCACCTGTCATCCATGGTTCCCTAATCTTGTCCATTCTATCCCTCATTTTCACAGGGACATGTCTGTCCTGCACTCTAATCAACCCCTCTTTAAAAGCCTCCCACATATCAAATGTGGATTTACTCTCAAACAGCTGCTCCCAATCCACATTCCCCAGCTCCTGTCGAATTTTGATATAGTTAGCCTTTCCCCAATTCAGCACTCTTCCTTTAGGACCACTCTCATCTTTGTCCATCAGTATTCTAAAACTTACGGAATTGTGATCACTATTCCCAAAGTAATCCCCTACTGAAACTTCAACCACCTGGCTGGGCTCATTCCCTAACACCAGGTCCAGTATGACCCCTTCCCAAGTTGGACTATTTACATACTGCTCTAGAAAACCCTCTTGGATGCTCCTTACAAATTCTGCTCCATCTAAACCCCTAACACTAAGTGAATCCCAGTCAATGTTGCGAAAATTAAAATCTCCCATCACCACCACCCTGTTGCTCCTACATCTTTCCATAATCTGTCTACTATTCGTGCCTCTATCTCACGCTCGCTGTTGGGAGGCCTGTAGTACAGCCCCAACATTGTTACTGCATGCTTCCTATTTCTGAGCTCTGCCCATATTGCCTCACTGCTCGAGTTCTCCATAGTGCCCTCCTTCAGAATAGCTGTGATATCCTTTATGACTAGTAATGCAACTTCTCCACCCCTTTTACTCCCTCTCTATCCCACCTTAAGCATCTATATCCTGGGATATAGAGTCGCCAGTCTTGCCCTTCCCTCAACCAAGTCTCAGTAATAGTAATAACATCATACTCCCAGGTACTAATCCCAGCCCTAGGTTCATCTGCCTTATCTACTACACTTCTCACATTAAAACAAATGCACCTCAGACCACCTGTCCCTCTGTGTTCATCATCTGCTCTCTGCCTACTCTTCCCCTTAGTCACACTGACTTCATTATCTAGTTCCTTACAGGCTTTAGTTACTATCTCCTTACTGTCCACTAACCTCCTCATTTGGTTCCCATCCCCCTGCCACATCAGTTTAAACCCTCCCCAACAGCGTTAGCAAAAGCAGACCCTAGGACATTGGTTCCAGTCCAGCCCAGGTGTAGACCATCCAATTTGAAATAGTCCCACCTCCCCCAGAACTGGTCCCAATGTCCCAAAAATCTGAAGCCCTCCCTCCTGCACCATCTCTCAAGCCACTCATTTATCCTGCCTAATCTTTCATTTCTACTCTGACTAGCACGTGGCACTGGTAGCAATCCTGAACTTACTACCTCTGAGGTCCTACTTTTTAACTTGGCTCCTAACTCCCTAAATTCTGCTTGTATACTCTCTTCCGCCCTCTTTCATCTAGCAGAAGATATAAAAGGTTGGAAACATGTACCAATAAATTCAAGAACAGCTTCTTCCCTGCTGTTATCAGACTTTTGAACCAACCTCTCGGATGTTAAAGTTGAACTTTCTCTGTAACGATAACATCATATTCTGCATTCTGTTCTATTACCCTGATGTATTTATTTAAGTAATGATTTGCCTGGATAGCACGCAAAACAGTATTTTTCACTGTATCTCAGTACGTGACAATAATAAATCAATCAGTCAAATTGTTGTGACAATAATAAATCTGATGAAATCAAATCAAAACTTGATATGACTTGCGTTGTTCTTTACCTTTCCAGGAAACTGCAACACTTTCACTGAATGTGGAAGCAATTGGATGCCCCGAGATTTCTGTTTGATACAGGCAGCTGTAATTCCCTGCGGTGTCTTTTCCCGTGACACTGACGGTGAAATTCACGCTTTGCTCATGCGCAGTCACCCGATGCAGCTGTGTGAAATTTGCGAACTGATTTTTGTACGAGTAAAATATTCCTCCTCTGGAGCGGATCTCCCCTCTGCATGTAATGATAACAAACTCTTTGCCCGGGCTTGCAGTGGGACCCTGCACTGTGCTCACTATCGGCGGTGAGGGTTTGTCTGTTGTGTGGAACAGCGCAAAAAAAATCACCGGGTGAAAAGGGGAAACAATGATTAATGATGAGAATCATGCAAAGAAATCTGTCCGTCTCCTGGATCCCAAATTTCATGACTGCAGACCCAAATATAAGATATCTTTGAACTAGACATGTCAAGTTTTGCAAGCACTCAATTCAAACTGGTCCATTAGCGGCCAGTCCATCACTGATGTACCTCAAATGTCCCCACGCTGTACAATTGCTGGATTGAACAATTGCAAATGACAATTAGAAACTAGGAGCAGGGGTTTTGGCCCTTTGAACCTACTCCACCTCATCTGCTGCAGTCTTAGACTTTAGAATGATAGTCAAAGAGTCAGACAGCATGGAAACAGACCCTTTGGCTCAACTCGTCCATGCTGACCAGGTTTCCCAACTTAACTAGCCCCATTTTCCTGCATTTGACTCATATCCATCTAACCCTTTCCTATTCATGTACCTCTCTAAATGTCTTTTAAATGTTGTCATTGTACCCACCTCTACCACTTCCTCTGGCAGCTCGTTCCATACACTCACCACCCTCAGTGTGAAAAAGTTGCCCCTCAGGTTCCTTTTAAATTTCCCCTCCCCCTCACCTTAAACCTATGCCGTCTGGATTTGGACTCCCTTACCTCTGAGAAAAGACCTTGGTTATTCACCTTATCTATGCCCCTCATGATTTTATAAACTTTTAGAAGGTCACCCCTCAGCTTGCTATGCTCCAGGAAAATAAAGTCCCAGCCTGTCCAACTTCTCCTGATAACTCAAGCCTTCCAGTCCGAGCAACATCCTTGTAAACTTTTTCTGTACCCTTTCTAGTTTCACAACATCCTTCCTATAGCAGGGAGACTAGAACTATACACATTACTCCAAATTTACCTGACCAATATCTTGCACAGCTGTAACATGACATCCCAACTCCTATACTCAATGAACTAACCAATGAAGGCAAGTGTACCAAGTGTCTTTTTCACCACCTGTCTATCTGCAGTGCCACTTTCAAGGAATTTTGTACCTGCAGCCAAGGTCCCTACCATTGGCTACATAACTCCTGCCCTAGTTTCCCTTACCAAAATGCAACACCTTACATTTATCTACATTGAACTCCATCCGTCACTTCTTGGCCCATCTGATCAAGACTTCTCAGGGTTAAGCATTAAGGGTTATTTGGACATGGTGGAAAAGCAACTGAAGGAAAATATGCGAAAAACAGGCTTGTTGAATATGTTTGAAGTTGTTTCAGCTAATAGATTCACTCATTAGTTCGCCTATATCTAAATTAGATTAAGCTAATAAATTTGCTTTTTAACAAAGCATGTGTCTTCTTGCAATCATTTTGATCAGGCCTTAAAAAACCCATTAGGCACTTCCAGCTTATCAATATGCAGCAAATCTTTTATTATTGGCACCTATGGGTCCTGGAGTGTGCCAGTTGACCAAATATTCCGGATAATCTAGAGTGTGACAGTACTGTATCTCTAAGAGGGATTTGTTCTGTGCTGTTTCTCTTACAGAGGAGTCTTACTACAGTGCTGACATAATGTCTGCATCAGAAGCAGTGGCTAAACAGCTTTTAGCTCCTTGAATGTGTTTTTGTAAAATTAGAAATAAAGGAAGCATGAGTGGGTGGAGTCAGGCTCACATAGACCCAAGGTTGTGTTTTCATTTGGGATTTGGAGCTGGCTGTTGAAGCTGCTAGATACAGCTTTCTCTGCTGCAGCAAGAACAAAGCTTCAGCTCTCTCTCTGCTGCTAGATTGTCTCTTTTGGTGTTCCTTTCTCACGGACTGAAAGGGAGTTAACATGTGAGGAAAATCTGGAAGAAAAACAAACTTGTTAGAAAAGCTTAGCAGGTCTGGAAGCATCTGTGAAGGGAAAAAAACAGAGTTAAAGTTTCAGGCCCAGTGACCCTTTTCAGAAAATCTTTTTTGCTGAATTTGCCTTTGCGTGTTTATGGGATGCTGTAATATTGGAACAGTTGATGATTAGTACTTAAATAATATGTTATTTTATCAAGTAGTTCAACAGAGTTAAAGTAATGTCAATTCTTCTTCATTTTGTTTGTATTTTAACTGTTTGTAAGAATAAAGTGTATTTTGCATAAACCCTAGTGGTGGACTAATAGAGTCACATCTGGAACATAGCACCTTACACTTGCCTTCAAATAAAATAAACATAGGTTTTGGTCTGGTCTGGTCCATAACGAGTAGTAACATAATCAATATGCCAAGTAATAGAAATATAGTACAGGGTGTATACACACCAGTGTTATACTTTATTTACAGCAAAATTGCTGAAATGATAATGCAATCTTTCCTTAAATAAAACTTACTGCAGACAGCCTTCTCATTCTCACCCTCAAGTGACTACTCAGACATTGTGGTAGATCTTGAAATTTGAGTCGCAAGTGGCTCGAAATTGAATCAATTGTTGACATTCCATGTGGCCATTTGATTGAACAACAAGTATATTTACATTGATGTAAATAAATTTTGAAAACTATAATAATTGGACTGAATAATAGACTAAATGTTGCATTATTTGAGAGATATATGTGTGGAGCCAGAACAGGTAGGTGAGGTCGTAAATGAATACTTTGTATTGGTATTCACCAAAGAGGAGGAATTGGTGGAAGATGATCTCAGGGGAGGGAATGTCGAATTTCTAAGCCAAGTTGCTATTAAAGAAGAAAAGGTGTGTGTCTTAAAAAATGTTTAAGGTAGACATGTCCCTGGGTTATGATGAGATCTATCCCAGAAAATTGAGGGAGGCAAGAAAACAAATTGCTGTAGCATTGACAGACATCTTTGTATCCTCTTTAACCATGGGTCCCAGAGTACTGGAAAACAGCCAATGTTATGCCATTGTTTAATGGTAATAGGGATAATCCAGGAAATCACATGGCTGTGAGCCTCATGTTGGTGGTAGGGAAGTTATTGGAAAGGATTTACAGGGACAAGGTCTATTCGCATTTGGAAGCAAATGTTAGTGATCGACGGCATGGTTTTGTGTGGGGAAGGTCGTATCTCAATAACTTGATCAAGTTTTTTGAGCAGGTGACAAAGATGATTCATGAGGGAAAAGTGGTTGATGTTGTTTACGTGGACTTCAGTAAAGCCTTTGACAAGGTCCCTCATGGCAGACCGGTACAAAAGGTGAACTCACATGTAGCAGAGGTGAGCTGGCAAGATGGATACAGAACTGGCTTCGTTATAGGAAACAGAGGGTAGCGGTGGAAGGATGCTTTTTGGAATGGAGGGTTGTGACTAGTGGTGTTCCACATGCATCAGTGCTGGGACCTCTGCTGTTCGTGGTATATGTAAATGATTTGGAGGAAAACATAGCTGGTGTAATTAGTAAGTTTGTGGATGATACAAAGATTGATGGAGTTGTGGGTAGTGAGGAGGATTGTCAGAGGATACAGTAGGATATAGATCAGTTGGAGGCATGGGCAGAAAAATGGCAGATGGAGTTTAATCCAGATAAATATGAGGTGATGCAGTTTGGAAGGTCAAGTACAGGTAGAAATTATACGGTGAATGACAGAACCCTTAGGAACATTGCAGTGGGATCTGGGTGTGCAGGTCCACAGATCACTGAAGGTGGCAGCGCAGGTAGATACGATAGTTAGAAAAGGCCTAGGTATGCTTGTCTCCATTGAGAAAAAGATAGGCGAGTTATGCTGCAGCTTTATAGAACTTTAGTTAGGCCACACTTGGATGCTTTGGACAGAAAATGTTTACCAGGATGTTGCTTGGTATGGGGGATTTTAGCTATGAAGGAAGTTTGAACAGACTGGGTTTGTTTTCACTGGAATGCAAGAGTTTGAAGGGCGACCTGAAAGAAGTTTGTAAGATTGTGAATGTCATGGATCGAGTGGAAAGTATGAGGCTTTTTCCCAGGGTGGAGGGCTCAATTACTAGGGGACAGAGGTTCAAGGTGCAGAGTGGAGAGGGGTTGGTTTAAAAGAGACGTGCAAAGCAGGTTCTTCATGCAAAGGGTGATGAATGTCTGGAATGTGCTGCCAGAGGAGGTGGAGGGAGCAGACACAATAGCAGCTTTCAAGAAGCACTTGGACGAATACAAGAATAGGAAGGAATTAGAAGGGTATGGATCCTGTAAGGGAAGATAGTTTTTGTATAGAAGGGCAAAATGTGTTGGCGCAGGCTTGGAGTGCTGAAGAGCCTGTTCCTGTGCTGTTTTTCTTTGTTCTATAACTTTTGCTAGTTTACCGAGCATGCTAATTCATAGGGTGCGGGATAAAACAAAATTTGCTGCATATCATTAAATAAAAACTTAAATTGCTGCACCTAACAACATAATAAATTGATGGCAGAACACAGACCTGCTTTAAGATAACAAGGTGTAGAGCTGGATGAACACAGCAGGCCAAGCAGCATCAGAGGAGCAGGAAGGCTGACGTTTCGGGCCTAGACCCTTCTTCAGAAATGGGGGAGGGGAAGGGGGTTCTGAAATAAATAGGAAAAGAG